AAATAACAATCCAATGTTTTTAATTTAGATAAGAACTAATCATACCATAAACGAACTAAATCCGAATACAAACACAAACAATATTCTTCTATAAAAGGACAGAGACAACTCTATATATAGAAGAACGAATGGGATAGTATGGTCGGTGGTCTAAACACGGAAAGCAATGATGCGCTTGAAGAAATATCGATGATTCCAAAAGAAGAAAGAAAAGGCTTCTTAGATCTCATAGTGAGCTTTATGTCTACGGACACAGTGGAAAACGATGCCAAAGCCGAAACACTGCTATTGACTGCAGGACTACATGAGAATACCGACATGGATGGTGCCAGTGCTTGGAATGTATTTAACAATCACGCGATGGCAACTGGTGATGAAGGTAATAAACTGATCGAGGACCAAGTGAACCATCAGGATGATTCATTAGTGGATGCTTTTCAAGAGAAGAATATGGATCTTGATTTTAATTGGCTATCAAGTACCTCTCTAGAGGAGGAGGAGGAAAAGCATAAGCAACTTGGGGACCAGCATGTTACATTTGAGCTACCATCTAGCCATACACAAGATGACTACAATACCGCCAACAACAATGTCAAGAATGAATATAAGAGTGGACATAATAGAAATAACGATGTCGGGGTGGAAGTTGATGACCCAAAGCAGAAAGACGTCCTCAAACAACGGAGAATGAACATCGGAATAGTGACCGAAAACCCGACTACTATCATGGGCCGGTCTTTCTTGGGTTGTTTTTATGTTGCATTGGTGACTAGGGTTATTAGCTGGCTAGTATATGTCAATATCTTGATTAGGCCTAAAGATTATTTACCGAATTACTTTCCATACGGAGCTATAGGAATAAGAAGACTGCACCAAGACTTTCCAATTCTTCCAATCATAGGGGACTGGTTGGATTTTGTTATGTCTGTCGTTGCGGCTGTGGGGATTTGCTTCTTTTCCTTCAACCTTCTAACCTGCTCTAAGACGAACATAGACAAGATAATTGAATCGAAATACAGTTACCTTCGTTGTGTGGGGGCAATTTTGGTCTGTGTTTGGATATATCTCTCGGGTTGTTGGGTAGTACATTCTTTTTGTAGACACTTCTTCTTCTGGAGCCCGGCTCTGGTACATGGCGTTATTGCGCTAATAAGTTGTATGACTGTTGGGGGAATGTTGCGGCTTTTCGCTCCAGGCGTTGCATGGGGGAATCCTTGGCGCAATATACATGCATCCAGAGGACTTCCGTTTCTAACATTACTCGCATTTCTTAATCTCCTTGGACTACTAAGTAGCATTACTGTTACTCCAATGATCCAGAGCCCGGCAATTGTTACGACAGATAGACAATACAGTGGCTAGCCATAGTGCACTAAATGAAGAGTTTAAAAAGAGGGTCTTTAGCTGCAAGTGCCTAAGATAGTGTTAGATCAATAAATCACACAGTCATTAGTTCTATGTTTGAGCCGCACTTGCGGGTTAGTATTGTAGTGTGTACTACTTCTTTCGGCCTAAGGGCATGTAAGTGTGTATATTTATATAATCCAAGACCAACTCAATCTAACCACAATACTAACTCAATACCAACTCAATACTAACTCAACTCAACTCAATACCAACTCGACTCAACTCAATACTAAGTTGGCCTAAAACATAAAGGGGATTAAGCTTAAACCAATTCTAGTTTACTTATCAGAAATGGACAAGGAAATATAGTTATAAAGTACACTTGGATTTGAGTGGACTAGGCCGCGTTAGAACCAGAATAGTATTGAGTTGAGAGTTGGATTAGGATAAATCATTGAGTGATAGAGAGATTAGGAGGGGTATTTTAGAATAAAATTGGTGGTAGCCCATGATGAAGATTGGTGAAGAAAGTCTTGATAATATGGTGGAGGTGCAAGAAAGAAGTCGGAATAGTGAGTTGGTTTCATTTCTTCCTTTATGCATAACACATGAGGTGGGTGCTTCCGGTCCGGAGATTGAGTTATTAGGAAAAACAGCCGGTGGTCGAGTGATTACGTGTATGGTAGAGGGGTTTTATCCTTATATGTATGCAGGATTGACAGCAGAAAGCGATATTAGGTTTATTCAGGATATAGACGGTGTGGTTCAAGTTGAAATCTGTGCGGGCTTACAGAGTATTTATGGATATAGTGCCAAAGCAGCACAGCCGATTGCTAAAATAACGTACAACGATCCTAAGCGGTCACAGCATATTAAAACAGCAGTTGAGGAAGGTTTAGTTAAGGGCAGCAAGAGTAAACCAACCATGTATGAAGTGAATATCAACTATGTAACTCGGTTTATGGTCGACACGGGTATGGTCGGAATGGGTTGGGTAAGTGTTGTAGGAACACCAGTGAATGAAATGGGTATGATGAAAGCTAGAGCGGGTGATATTAAGCCGGAGTCAGACAATATTACTTTACCGCCCTTATCTATTTTGAGCTTTGATATTGAATGTGCAGGACGAGCTGGAAAGTTTCCTGCAGCCCAAACAGATCCGGTAGTGCAAATAGGATGCGTGGTTTCGGTTTTGCCAGTAGATATTCCTAAACTGCGCATACTCTTCTGTACACGACCTACAGCCGACTTGGCCGAGGCCGAAGTACGAAGCTTTGCTACGGAGCAGGAAATGCTAGTTGCTTGGGCTGACTGGCTGCAAGAGCTAGACCCTGATGTTTTGACTGGGTATAATACGACAGGCTTTGATTTCCCGTACTTACTAGATCGAGCTAAGGCATTAGGTCTTAAGGAGTTTGCAGGATTAGGACGAAAGCGAGCTCCAGCAATTTTACGGACAATCACTTCTACTACTGCTTCATTTGGTACGCGTGAAACCCAGGTTGTTTCTGTTCCAGGCCGGCTGGTCTTTGATGTTATGGATGCAGTCCGCAAAGAAATGCGCTTGCACAGCTATTCTTTGAATACAGTGGCTTATCATGTTTTGGGCGAACAGAAAGAAGATGTTCACCATACGGAAATCCTGGGTCTATTCAATGGTACTCCTGAGTCACGTAAGCGCCTAGGAGTTTATTGTATGCGGGACGCCGAGCTGCCGATGAAGATCCTTTTCCGGAAGAACCTCTTCCTTAACTATTGCGAGCTGGCTAGAGTAACTGGTGTGCCGTTTGAGTACTTAGTGGCTAGAGGCCAGGGGATTCGAGTTCTAGCTCAGTTACTACGAGCATCTCGGGCCCGAAACTTTGTTCTGCCGGTTCTAGAGGGCGAAGGCGAGGCTTATGAAGGAGGCCATGTTATGGAGCCTTCTCGTGGCTTTTACACCGATGCCGTGGTTATTCTGGACTTTGCTTCTCTTTATCCTTCGATTATTATGGCTTACAACCTATGTTACAGTACTTTAGTCAGTTCCAAAGAGACGGATCCGTCGGAGGCAACTTTGCATAAGTCACCAACGGGGGATTGCTTTGTGCAGGCTAGTGTTCGTCCTGGTGTTCTACCGGGCATTCTCGCATCCTTACTAGAAAGACGTAAACAAGCCAAACGAGAATTGGCGGCAGCTAAGGATCCAGCCATTAGAGCAGCTCTTGATGCCCGGCAGTTGGCACTTAAGATAGCCGCGAACTCGGTCTATGGATTCACTGGAGCTGCCAAAACAGGTTTGCCTTGTATTCCGGTTTCCCGAAGTGTCACATCTTTTGGCCGTGAGATTCTAATGGAAACACGGGCCATGATCGAGGCGGGTGTTGGTAGTACTGAAAGCATGGCGGCCGAACATGGCCAACCAGATAAACACTCTGCTGATGGGCCTAGTATTAATCAAAACAGCTCGGCTAATATCAAAGCGGCAGCCAACCCGACTGCGACTACAGCCGGGGCTAGTAAGCCCGGACAAGCGGAAAAGTTACGCGTAATCTATGGAGATACCGACTCAGTTATGGTAACGGCCCCGCACTTGAGCCTAGAAGAAGCCTTTGCGGCTGGAAAACGAATCTCTCAGGCGGTGTCAGAAAGATTGCGCAACCCACTAACGCTTGAGTTTGAAAAGGTCTATAAACCTTTCTTACTGCTCAATAAGAAGCGGTATGCCGGTTGCATCTTTAAGTCACCTAGCAAAAGAGCTGGTATAGACACCAAAGGAATCGAAACCGTTCGGCGTGATACGTGTGGCCTAGTTCGCGAGCTACTTCAAGAATGTCTAGATAATATCTTTATTCATGGCAACGTTGAAGGGGCCAAAAAAGCCGTTCGGCACACCGTAGAATCGCTTATGGCCGGCCAGGTTGGCCTTGAGCGCTTAATCATAAGCAAGTCTATTTCCAGGAAAGAAGAAGGCTATGCTGTGCACTTAGCTCACGTGGAGTTAGCCGAGCGAATGAGAAAAAGAGATCCAGGAAGTGCTCCCGGTGTTGGCGACCGAGTTTCCTATGTAGTTGTTAAAGGAAAAGGCCCAGTGCATGCTCGGGCAGAAGATCCCATTCGAGTGTTGGAAGATGAAATCCCAGTTGATACGGAGTATTATCTGGAACAGCAGATAAGCAAGCCGGTTACTCGGTTATTAGAACATGTAGTTGGCGATGTTGCCCAGCTTTTGAAGTCTTCTGCAGTTGCCCGAACCGGCAATGCGTCTATAGCAGCTCCTAAGTCCGGGCTGCGCATGTTTGTCAAACCGAAAGCAGTTTGCTTTGTCTGTCGGGCCGGCGCAGCACCCGTTTGCAAGGGCTGTGTTGGGGCTGTTCCCAAACTCTGTTTGGCAGCTCTAGAAAAGCTCCGGGTGTTGCAATACCGTTACCATCTCTTACTTGGTGAATGTCAAAGAATGCAGCACACAACGCACATTCCGATTCTATGTTGCAATCGTGATTGTCCTATTTTCTACAAGCGAAGAGAGCTTACTAGAGCGATCGGGCGGGCCCAGGCTGAATACAACAAGATAGCGTCTTTCACTAATCCCAAATAGGAATAATGGCAATCTTTCTATTTCCAGTAATAAAGTGGCTTTTTGTTTGTTTTGGTAGAGATATTATTTGGCTATAAAAGGAGTTATGAAAAGATAGTGATGAATATGGGTATTTAAGCCCACTATTCTTGAGTTGCACCAATGACAATGCCAAAAGTTACTTTATTGCTTTCGTGGGCGCTGCTTGCTAGCCTTTTGCTAAGTATGGTCCTGACTGAGAAAAGAGATATAAAAGAGCCATCTATCTTTAAGGAAATTATAGATAATAAGAAAGAGTTTGTTAAGAAACTAGATCATCATAGTATCGATTGGCGCTACCAAATCTTCTCCAATAACGAAGAGGGCTTTCCTCGCGAAGAAGAGTCCATAGAGCCTTATATCATCACCACCAAGTGCATTCGCGAGTTGATGCAGGCCTATGAGCTGCTCTCTAGCATTGAGGCTAAAGAGACTCAAACCTATGCGTTCCTTCTAAACGGTCGAGGCGCAGGCCATAAGAACACCAACTTAAATGACATAATAACCATACTAACCACAATGGCCAAAACTCGCAAGCTAGTGTGTATCACCGGCGAGTCAAGTTGGCGCCCATGTTCTAAAGAGTCAGATATTTCTGACACTGATTGTGTGGCCTTTATTCTAAACGCATTGGCACCATTTGCTGTTGCTAAGATAAAGCTCAAAGACCTTGTGTTAGAAGGCCTATCTGATGTCATGACCAAGAATAGATTTAAGTCCCCATCGATAAGCAAGAAAAATGTCCCGCCAAATCCATACAGACATATAGAAGAGCTTTATCTTGAAAATGTTTATGATATCGGGGACTTGCTAGTCCATGTTAATCATAGATACAGTGACCATACGTACCAATATCCTTGTTACCAGAAGGCAAACGAGCAAGCGGTCAATGACATCTTTAACTCCCTTTATACCAGAATTGTCGATGCTAAGCCGGAATCTGCCAATCTTATACAAAGCACCAACCCCCACCACACTACAGCCCCACTTCGAATGGATGATATGTTTCTTCTCTCACAGTTCAACTCCGAGAAGCTTAATAACAATGCCAACTACGATAAGAATGAGCCTATTCCCATTAGCGAGATGGAGCGCATTGCCTATAAATACTCACTAATCAAAAGCAGAACCGAGCTAGAATGGAGGTCCTTTTTAGAACTATGTACCAACCTATCGACCTTATACATCCACAACTCAACCCTCCAAGATATGACCATAAATAGCAACCTCCAACTAAAGCAACCAGATTCAACAGATAAGCCCGGCATAGCTTCTTGGTATCTCCCTAACCTGCGCTATTTGATTCTCTCCTGTAAAACAATCTGCTATGCCGATCTCTTGATTCTAATCCATGCTTCCAATTTGTTGGTCTTTTCACTAGCCTATACACCATGCTCCGACTACTCATTGGGTCCGTATCAAACCTCTCTCTTGCTTAACCTAATCCCCTTGGTACAAACTCGCATTTTCAAGGAGAGGCTGGCGGCTGTGCCTGTGGCTGGTATAGTGTTCCAAGTATCTCCCGCCGAAGCGGATGCATTGTTTGAGAGAGAGGGGGTGACTTGCCGTGTCGCCATGATAGAAGCTTATATCTGGGCCCAGTTAGCGCCCCTATTCTACCAAGGCCGCACAATGGTAGTGGTTGATCTTGATGGTCTCGCATATCTACTAGATAACAAGTTTCTAAATCCAGATACTCTTCAACGGGTGTACCTCGTCGGCCAGGACTTGACCCTTCAAATACTCCACATTGCCGAGCACGGACAACTATTCCGAGCCAATATATACAGCGGCCAGGCTCTAATGGTTCCACTTTACAAAATGTGTTCTTGGCTAACCCAAGGCAAGCATCTCCGGCATCTAGTTGCTGTAATAGAAGCATCACACATATCTCTAACCAAAGCCATCGTGCGAATCAACAACCTCACCTGTACTGATAAGCAAAACCAGGACCGCCCGGATGAGTTTTACGAGCATCTAAAATACCGAACCCAACTTAAGCAGGGCTGTGTGCCTGTGATCGGTATTTTGCCTCCGAAATACTTTAGCCATTACTCAGTAGGTGGGCATATGTTTGGTTTCTTTGCCATGCTATTTCAGAGTCTTGAGGTCTTCAACTACTTCTATGCGCATGAGGTCCCAATAGTAGGGGTCGGACTAGCCCCATGTACCGGCAACTGCTACAAAGTTGGTTCTTTCCTGTCGAACACTGTCGGTGCCTTGACATTTGCTAGCTACCCCCCTCCTTTAGTGAATGACCCTAAGATAGAGGAACCGTATATTTCAGCCAATGTTACCCCAATCTTCCAGGAGATCCAGAATCGAAGGGACATAGGTACAGTGGAAGTACTTAAGGGCCAAAAAGACCATTTCTCTTATCTTCTGAGTGCTTTTAAGAAAGTGCAGCGGTGTTGCCATGATAAAACCGGAGATCAAAGTTCATGGACAGCTTACGCATACGAGGGCAGCTTGACTAGTATACAGAACGCCTATGGCGAAACAATTACCAGGGATAATAAGAATAGGGTATCCCAGCTCCTAACTAAGTTAAACCTGGAAGAATTCTTTGGGCTACTCCCAAATTTCGAAGAGCATACGAAAGCTAAACAGATCGCTAAGAAAGTCCCAACGCCAATTCCAATACTAACCTGCTACAAAACGCAATGTTTTCTAACTCCATCAACTCTTATACCTTCATTGAAAAAGTCAGATATAGTCTTCCATATGTCGAGTCCATGTTCTACAAGTCCTTCATTCATAACTGCGCCAACGACTTCAACCATTAAAGATAAGACGAGCAAAGGGCCTAGTAAGCCCGACGGCGCTTATGTAAGGACAAGTGCAATACGCCAAGATTGGTCAGATTTCAAGGCCGCCCTGGCAGCTTGTGGCGGCACACTCAATAATAGTACAATACTAGCCCCATCCACTAGCGATCTCCAAAGGAACAGCAGCACCCCAGCGGAAGCTATTGCCGACTACTTCGAATCGCTATCAAGAGCTCCCCGCCCTCTAAATTCCAACAAACCAGATAACTATGCTTTGAAGGAATGCTACCAAACCCAGCTTAGCATTATCTTTAAAGGTAAATATCGGCCGAGCCTAAGTATGTACACAATGGCATTGCCCGCTTATATTCCGACCAATGCTGATATTAGTACTGCTATATTTCATCAGTTCCCTCTCACTTACTGTGTGGCCGGAGTAGACAAAGCAGAATCCGAGCGAAAGGCTTTAGTCAAATGTATGAGAGACCTATCACACTTCCAGAAGAAGAACTATTACCTATACCAGCATGACACCACTATAGACATGAAGACCCATGAGGGGAGGAGCGGGTTCGATAGGTACCACGCCTCCGCCTTCAATTATATGTGGGACTGTATAAAGGCGCTTCATAGCATCCGGGAGTGCGTTGATCCTAAAACAGGCAAATTGTGCACCACCCTAGCGGGCAGTATTCGTCCTGCTCTGGCAATAGAGGCTATTAAGGAAGTTACCGAGGGCCCCTTCGACCGCTTGAGGAGCAGAATTGTTTGTAATGATATTTACAATACTTACAATAGTATTGCCTCCCCCGACATTCTACCAATTAGTATTGTATGCGATGCCCTCACCAATGCCACCAACCCCGGACAAACACCTCAGGACAAACCAGCCACCACAAAACAAGGCCAACCCAATACTAAGACCATCCAGACCCATATGGGCAACTTCTCTATATACTACCACCACGAAAAAGGACTAAACACAGACCAAACACTTCCAGTCCTCCACTCTTCCCACGCCGACCCAAGCAACTAGCTCCTTTGCCACTATACCACCTCCCTATAAATCTTACGACAACCCATCCCACCCCAAATTTACCCACTTATAACCCAATATTAGATCTTCCAGATATAGTAATCGGAATAAATAGCAAATCTCTTCTCTTTTTTATGATCATTGAAGCAGCTATACTTACTATCGGCAAAGAATGCCTTGAGCCAAAACCCTATGTTCCAATCGAAGAGACTTTCAAAATGTACGCTCATTATTACCAGAGAGGCGCTGAGGAGTTATATAAGGATATTTTAGCCTCAACAGAAGTAAAACCCGATTTAGAAGAGTTATCAAGTGAAGAAAGAGAAGATAATGAGATTAGAGCAACCGATCGTTTGGCCCTTTCTTTGGTTGTCGATGAAAATGACACCAGATTAGATACTTATGTTTTTGATATTAATTCAGAAGCCTTTTATGTCCACCATGATGTATTTCTTCATGGAGTACCCACTTCAATGACCGTTTGGGACCGGGCAGAAGATCCTATTGCTTTTATTGGTAACCAAGATGGACATGTGACCGGATACAATCTTTTTGTGACCAACCACTTCTTGCCTGATTTGGCCTTTGCCGCTCATGAGTCTCCTATTACGTCAATTAAGTCCAACTCTACTTTTATTCTTACTACTGACCAGAAGAGTATCAAAGCCTGGGATTTGGCCACCCAAAAACCACTTTTTGCTTCAACTAGTATTACGCCTCTACAAATTGCTGTGAACGATCAAGCCACTGTTTTTGCCGATACCAATACAGTCTATAACTACGATCATCGTGAGAAGAAGCCTACTAAGCTCTTTAGTACGACTACACCTATTACATCCTTATCTCTTTTGGGCGGTTCAGTAGCAGCTGGTACTACTTCTGGTGATATCTTTGTGACTAAAGACCAGGCCGTAGCTAAGACATACTCCGTGCACAAAGAAAGCATTAACAATCTCCAACTGACCACTGATAGATATGTAGTGAGTTCTTCTCGAGATGAAACCATTGCTCTTTTTGATCTTTTAAATGAGGAAGTTCTGCTGCGAACTACCACTAATATTGATACGGCTAAAGTGGCAGTGCCTCTTGATGATCCGACTATTTTTGTCTTCCCCCAAGAAGACGGCGAATTGGGCATAGACTCTTTTGCCGATGCTATCTCCCTTACCGAATAAATAAGACAGTGCTATTTCAATTTGACTTATTACTAGTTCAATTGCCAGAATTTGACTCGATTAGTTCAAAATTCACGACTATTTTTTGATTTTTGATTAACAAGATTGGCTTTTATATCTTGGGCTATCTTAATTTTTGTAAATGAACAGCAGTACAACCCAACAAGATAACACTTTACTTGATATTCCACTCACTAAGCCGGGTCAGGACCTCAAGTCGGAGACCTACAAAGAGACTCCACCTATGTCCGACTTTATCTACCCGACTAAGAAACCGACTACATCTGAATCCCAACCATCGTCATGCTGGCGCACTCTATTAAAGGAAGACGGGACCTTTAACTATAACTCTGCTATCAGCTGTCTGATAAGCTTTTTGTGGTTACCACTCCAGTTGGGGTTCTTGACATCTCTAATGGTATTCAAAGAAGCAAAAGAGGCGGATATAACGGCCAAATTACTTGCCAGCCAAACTGAGGCACCGGAACTATACGGTCTATGGCCATTGCACTATCTCACTTCCATTCTTTTGGTTCTACAGATCAATACTAGCTGGAGTTGTTTTTTGAGCAGCAATCCAACCCTTTCCACTACCTATAAAGTCATCAAAGGCTTTATAGTTATGACAGTGGTCATTTTCTTTGTCCAAGGCACGTCTATGGCCATTAGTCGCCTCTGCCACTTTGGTACCGACTACATCCTCAAACACTATGACTGTGGCGGGCTTAGTGTCTTTATCACTTGGGCCTTCATGCTGACCGTATACATGTCGGTCGGTCATTGGGGGGTGCACTTTGCCTCTAAACAGGCTAAAGATCTCATTCTTATTACTTACATCTTCTTGGCCGCCCTTATGTTCGTGGATGTTGTTTATCTCATCTACTATTATCAGCAATTTGGAGTTGGCGAATGCCATGCTAACATATAACGCAAGTTCGCATCGATCTACCTATCTCTGCATACTCCTGCCTAGCGCATTTCTTCGTTCTTACCAGCGCCCAGCCCAAATCATTCTACCAACACTGATTGTCTTTTATCTATTACAACCTAGGCCAGTCTAAAACTATAATAAAGATACAAAGTGTTCCCAAAACCAACCAAATTTGTAAGCAATTAACAATTATTTCGGTTTTTCCTTACTAATCCCTTTATTAGATCAAACCATTATTCATGGCACTTGAATAAAACATACGCAACCTAGACCATTAGTCCATCCGAATACCACCACTCACTAACTCCAGCACGCATTACCAGCCCAAAACAGACCAGATCCTTTAAGACAAACAAGTGAGTGAAAGGCATCCAATATCAAAATAACAATCCCAGATAGGCACAAGCAAATACCCGAAAACAAAAAGAAGTCCAGATATCACCCTAGCAATAATCCAACCACCACCTATGTTCTTATTCACACCCTTAAATCTTCTTTAGCTTAGTATGCATGGCCAAGAAGCAGTCTCATTAAACACCAAGTAACAACACAATACCAACGCAATAGATAGTAGAAAGATAGAGATTAGCACAGTCTAAACCGATAGACCACAATTAACACGAAGATTTTGTCTTTTTCATGGATACGCTGTTCTTGAAAGAGAAGACTCTTTGTGCTATTTCGCAAACCAACAATTTCCTTGAAGTCTTTATCCATTCAATCGCCAAAGTCCAAAGCCGCAAGGTCTGTAATGCATTTATAAAGAGATTGTTGCAGGACACTCTTCACATGGAAGAAGTACTTCAGGCCGCCCAAACAATCCATTTAAGACTTAGCCAGCTCAGTGTACTAGCCCGGGAACGCTTTATCCGCAAGTTTAACAGTCTTTCTCTTTTTGAGTATATCTTATCAAAACCTCTACCGATAACAGATTATTTATCCAACCTAATTGCACTCTTTGATCTCTTACAAACCAAGTTAGAGAAGCAAATACCAATCCCTAAGCACTTTTCACAAATAGAACTTCTTCTGCATCTAGCCAGACAGTCCAACGCCTTACAAGTGGAAATAGAAGCTTTATTAGCACTAGCCGATCAAATCATTCAAAAAGAAGCACCGCCTAACCAGTCATATCTCGAAGACATTGTTCAAACCACCAACCGATATATTACCATCGAACCCTTCCTAGAAGAACTCAGCCACCGCCTAACTAACAACTGGCCCTACCCCGAGAATAACCCCGCCCAGAAAGTACTGCAACTTATGCTCAAAACCGGATCTGCACCAAGCAATCATCTACTCACTCGAGGTATTCCAATCAAAAGACATTCACCCTTTCTTCTTCAGGACTGCAGTCTCATGCACATTCTCCCGGCCATAATCTGTGCCTCCTTTATTCTCGCCGCCAACCAGGAAAACAGTTCGATCTCCACTCTTCCCCACGTCCACTGTCCCCTTTGCCACGATCTGCTCAGCACCGAGCACCTCAAGTACTACCAAATGCACCGCATTCGCCTGGACGCCGAAATAGATAAGCTCATGAACCTTGCCCCTACTAAGCACAAAGAAGACACTCTTACGCCTATTCTCCATGCAATTACTCACCTGAGCAAACACCAGCAGTTAGCCCAACTGAAGTACGTGGTCGAAAAGCTAAGAAAGACCGAAAAGAAGCAGCTTCCAGAGTCCGAAATACGCAGCCTCCTTGGAGTTCTTAAGCACTTTCCCTTGACTCCTGAGAAAGAAGAGTACCTGGTGGCTATCACAAAATCGGCCTGTAAAGAAACCAGAATGGCCAAGATTATCATGGTGGCCAATATTCTCTACCATACCAACACTTCCATTCGCATAGCCTTTTCAGTGGCTATACTCGTTCACCATCTTCTTCAAATCAAAACATCTATCTTTACTACTACAATCGCCAGTGCCTTAACTAGTCGGCATGGCGAGTCTCTCAAACAGGCCCGACCCATTGTTTTCGAGCACTTTCTCTTTCGAATTGTTCCCATCACACTTTCTCTCCAAAGTCTTGCTCGCATATACCAGGCACCTACAGTCGAAGACCTACTGAGCCGTGAAAAGTACTATCTTGCCCCGCGACTTTGGCAATCCGGGCATTTGGAGGATCATTACCGTGATGTCCCTGAAAACAGTGTATTTTATGCTATCTATCTTTGTGAGTCAAAAGGCTCGCTTCTTAAATCTAAAGATTACCAGGACCTTGGCGTATCTCTTATAGAGTCTGGAGCCAATGCTTTGGCTATTGTTTATACAGGGGCCCAGGCCCCCGATCAAGTCTTCACACACTGTGGTGTAGATTCCGCCGAACTGATCCGATCCCATTCCGTGATGACCCTCCTATTTGCCATTCGTCGTGTTCTGGAGGAAGAGGTCGTTCCTCGCAACAACTGTGTATTCCTCCTAATCTACAAAATGATCACAATCAGGTACCAGGACAACCAGCCACGCGCTGAGGACATTCAAGAACTTCTGGCCTTCTTTATTCACACGGGGCATATGCAGGGATCACCTGAGTGTCGCTGCCAGAGTTCTTTGTGCTACAAGCAGAAGTTCTGGACAGTTTTCACGGCCTGCTTAGGCGACTTAGCTCCAAAGTACAAGTATGGATTCAGTCTGGAAGTCCCGGCCGAGCAGCGAAGTCGTCTTTTGAAAGAACCCAGCGGCCGGAAGACACTCTGTTTAGAAGAGTCGGTCTCTTTAGAGGCCGCCCTAGAACGGATCGAGCCATTTCTTTTGCACTCGCCCTTTGTAGCTGCTTTGGCCGTACGCAAAGTACTTGATACTGTCCTGCAAACTAGTGAGGCTGAAATCTTTCAACTCGCTCGTACGCACTGGCCCCAGCTCAAACGGTTTATGGTACATGTACTTCGCATGTACATTGACACCAAAGACTCTACTCTGCTTTCAGCCATCTCCTTATTTGGCGCCCTGGTGGTTGATGCTCTCGAGGAGGAAGGATCTTCTTCAGTACTGCTCTATCGCAAAGACCTTCTTCTGGGCATGGACCATGCTTCACCCTCAGAGGTAGTTGCTTTCTTTATCTTCCAGATTCTAGTTCCAATCTACTACGAAATTCTTGATGATCTGCTCCTGTACATTATTCAAGAAATACTGCGCACGGAAGAGGTTCCAATCCGAGAGAAACACCAACCCTTTATTGAACGACTTAAGCAGACCAAGTACGTACTTGAAGGCCCGGCCAAAGAGCCAGCTGCCATTAAGATTTACCGCCGCGGTATTTCACATAAAGAGTTTCTAGTGGGGACAATCAAGAACCTGGCACGGTTAAAGGCCGAAAACCGCCACTATCTCTTTCTGCGTAATATTGAGATAGTTGTCGATGCCCTTCTCCAAAAACCCTGGCCAGAAAGGCACCAGCTGAACATCCTTCAATTCTACCTCTTCTTACTTATGCACTCATTGAAATCTACCCATCGAGAAGAAATCCGCGAGCTTTTTGCTGATATCTTTACCGAAATCAAAATGAACTTACTGATTGACAAAAACATTCTCAGAACAATCACTAACTGTTCACTTTGTTTTACCGGTCTTTTTCATCAAGACGAACTACTTCTCTGCGGTCGTTATCTCCAGGACCGGCACTATACTGTTTGGTTACTAGAAAGAGATCTCAAGTGTGCCTCACCCGCCCAAAAAGACGAAATCCTCACTTCACTGCAAAAGGTCTATCTGGAACTCCAGGACAAAGACACAGTCTTTGGTATTAATGCAGCCATCACTACCCTTACTCCAGATAATATGGCCGCAGAATTCCAAATCAGCAACGATCAAGCCTCACTTATGTACATCGAGCAAGAAATCCTGCACCAATCACCTAGCTCTCTTAACAAACAGTCCAACAAGCCCGACTACCTCTCTTTAGTTGACAAACCAGCCAAGACCGACCAGTCCATCGAAGAGGTTCTCAGGGCCGTTGAGAAATCAATCCAACAATGGGCCGAATTTGTTCCCATCCATACTCTCTATGACAGTCCCGACACGACCCGTGACTTTCTCATCAACGCCCACTTACAACGTGACATCTTCCTTCTACGCACAAAACCCATCCCAGAATCACTCGATCTTATCAAGCAACGGCGTACTAAGCCCCGAACCCATGCCACCCAAAAGCTCTTCTCAGTCCACCAAGAGGTCCTCCAATTACTGCCACCAACCGAAGCCATTCTTTCCGCGGAAAAGGACGCACTTCTCTCGGAAATCCGCAGTGCCCGCAAGTCCGGCCAGCAAGAACATGCCGAGAAGCTCATCATAAAATCAATCATCAAAGATGACTGGCGCGTCTTCTACGAAAAGGCCAAGCTCCATCTCCTCAAGGGCCATAAAAGTCTAGCTAAGCAAGCCCTACAACGACTCTACAAACACCACAATACCGAGCCAACCGAGTACCTCTATAAATCCATTATTCTTGGCGCCGAAATCGAAGAGAGCAACGAGTCCTACCAAAATGCCCTGCAGCAAGTCAAAGCCAATGAGCGAGTCTTCTTCGGGTTTGGCAAGTTCCTGGAAAGAACTGATCCCCTCCAGGCGTTCAAGATGTACTGCAATGCCCTTTGTGCCGGCAAAGACAAGGCCCAAGAGATTGTTCCTAAGATCATCCACTACATTGCTGATACGGACAAAGCCTCGCCTTTAGCCGAAAGCATTCAGATTTGTGCTGGCGAGGCCCAAAAAGTCCTTTCCAAAGTAGATGTGGCCCTTTTCCTTCCCTACTTTGCCCAAATCATTACAAGACTGCGTCATAAAGACTCAGCAGTCGAACGTTTCTTATCTTCTCTTATTCTTAATCTAATTGAAACCTTCCCCAATGAAACTCTTTGGAAATCTCTTCCAATCGTCAATAATGTTCAATGTCCTAACAAAGCCAAAGCTCTAACCAATCTTATCGCTAAAGCCAGTTTTCCCATCAAAACCAAGTTTGTCAATCTCAAACTCTTCGCAGAGACCCTCACTAAAATCAGTACTTACGATTCTAAACCCGGCTGGACTAAGCTTTCCGATATTCTGGCCAAACCCCTGGTGGTTAGCCCCGGTACAACTCTTCCCGCCGGTGATTTTGCCGATGATATCATTTCCATTGACAATGATATCTTTGTTTTTGGCACGTTGCAACGTCCTAAAAAGATCCGTGTTCTCTCCAGCACAGGCGTCTTTCGCTCCTTCCTCTGCAAGGGCAAAGACGATCTGCGCAAGGATGCACGGTTTATGGACCTTAATGTACTGCTTAACTCTCTTTTTGGCGCTAACACTTCCTGCCGCCAGTTTAATATCCGGGTCTATACTGTTCTACCCATCACTAACTCTTCCGGACTGATTGAGTACGTGGAAAACACCGAGTCACTCAAGTCAATATGCAGCAAGCTCTACCAAGAAGAGCGGATTGATTTCCGAGAAATTGTAGCCAAGTATGCTATGCCGCACAATAAGTTTGGGCCGCACTTACCAACTGTCCTTAATCAAGTCAAGCCGGTCTTCGCCGAGTTCTTCCGGCGCACTTTCCTTTCGCCGGCTCGTTGGATGGAAGCGCGAAAGCGCTACACCATAACATATGCCGTAATGACGGCAGTCGGGTACTTAATGGGTCTTGGTGATAGACACGGCGAGAATATTCTCTTTGATCGAGCCACCGGCGAAACTCTTCATGTCGATCTCAACTGCATCTTTGAGCACGCCAAACGTCTTCCCATTCCCGAAACTGTGCCATTCCGGCTAACGCCTAACATTGTCGATGCTTTTGGTCCCACGCGAGAAGAGGGCCAGTACCGCATCTCCTTTGAGAAGGCACTTAAGTTCCTCTCCCAGCGCAAAGACCTTATCATTGCTAATTTACGCGGCTTCATTCACGATCCACTCGGTGAATGGAGTGGCCGCAACAACTCAGCCATGGCCATGCAGGTAGTTAGTTGCATCGAAAAGAAGCTCGATTTTGACGACGAGATAACTAAGGCCTCCACCTTAATCAACCAGAGCACCTCAATTGCCAATCTATCCGAAATGCTCGCCTGGTGGCTGCCCTGCTTATAACCCCAGCACCAACTCAATACCAACTCAATACCAACTCAATACATGCATTGCTTATTATTGATTAAAAGGATTAGATTAGATAGTGGAACAGATAATGATAAATAGACTATTTATTAATGTATGTAAGCACATAAGTAACTATGCCTAGCACCAGGGCCCCCAATAAATCACTTGCAGCATTAAGTAGAGGCACAATATGGCAGGAAGCGCCAATTTTAAAGAGCCCCAAGAACCAAACTAACAGGTTGGTCAAGTGGTATAATAGAAAGACGTTTACCGGCAGGAAGCCACAAGTTAAACCAACCACTGTTAAAGGCACACGCGGGAAGCACAAGCGAATGCATCCAAAGGCAACAAAGGAAAAGGTCAGAGCGGTGGCCAGTAGAGTTAGCAAAGTCTGCAACGATCGCGGATGTTCTTGCAAACCTTCAGCTACATCCATAGAATCAAGCACCACCACTTCATCATTACTCTCAGCCGTCGTATTGCCCACAAACGAAGTAATCTGACTCGAGTAAATCAGAGCAATTGAGCCAGACAGACCATTAAAGAAAGGAATCAGCAAAGCCATCCACTGATTCCAATCAGCCACCAGATTAATTGTCAATCCAGCAGTAGCCGTAATCGCAAAGGCCATTAGCAAAGACCCCACCCCAAACAACCGCGGAGTCTTCCGTCGGTCCATCCGCCAGTACACAAAGACCAGAATGCCAAACAGTCCCAGGGAAAGCACCACATTAGTCCCAAAGACTCGTTTGGACATATCAGACATGGCCACTTTCGGCACCGGAAACAATCCAGTATACATCACCGACACAACATAGTAGATATTCTTGGAAAAGTAACTTAAAGATAAAGTAGTGATATAATCAGCCGAAGAAGCAATAATCGGCAGGACAATATTATCAGGATTGTAATCAAAATAAAGACTTAAGGAAATACATCCGATCACCGAAATTAAAGTTGAAATCGATCCACAAATACCAGCCAAAAAGGCAACCATTACCGAAGAGACAATCACAACAAAGTTCTTGTGAATTTCCTCCATTGTAACCAGACAGAAGATATTAACATAGTTAGAAGCTACCCCAATCAGGATACTCATACAGACCGAAATCAAAAACATTTTGACTCCACAATCAAACATATACTCCAACAAGTAAAGAAAAGAGATGTTCTTCTTAGCCAAAGAAAGTCTACGCACAGCACTACTCATAATATCAGCATAATTCAGTTCAATGTTGTTCTTGAAGCAAAGCATTGAATTTAAGATAAAAAGATAGTGCATGGGTTGAACATCACTATGATCGATAGTATTGTAAAGCGATTTGGTCATCAAGAGAAGCCCGCCCAGGGAAATACCCAATGAAGGTATAATTTCCTTGAGCGCATTCCAGTCAATACTCATTTCTAAGATGCCAAACAATATGAGACTATTTATTTTTTGCCAAATAAGGAAGAAGATCTCTTTCTAGTTGTTTCTTGATTAGCAAATGGACTGGTATATTCAGGTTGTTTAGCTTCCGAAGTAAAAGGAGCCGGTGGATTGAAAATTGATGAATTTAAGCTAAATTGAGAAGGTCCATTTGAGCCACTAGTATTATTAGTATTTAAATTGGCATTTAGATTAGTATGTAGATTAGGAGTAGAGTTTAGATTTTGATTTTGATTAAAACCAGAATTTTGACCAAAATTTTGATTAAAGTTAGAATTTTGATTAAGACTTTGGCCAAAACCAGTATTATTAGAAGTGGGTCCAGAATGAGTTCCTGTTTCAGAGGAAGGCTTATTACTAAAAGGATTAGAAAAACTCGTTGTCCCACCCGAAAAAGGGTTAGAAGAACCAGTGCCAAAGGTACCAAATACAGGTTTAGGTTGAGTTGAGTGGGTTAAGGTGGAATTGGTATTGGTATTGGTAATAGGATTGGGATTAGTAATTGGATTGGTATTAGTAATAGGATTGGTATTGGTAATAGGATTAATAAAGGGTGTGCTAGAAGTGGTATTAGGTGCGTTGGTGGTATTAGGTGCGTTGGTGGTATTAGGAGTATTAGAAGTAGTAGTAGTAACTGAAGGCTTACTTAATATACCAGAAGTTGAGGTAGGGTTACTAAAGGCCGAAGTAGAAGAGCCCAGACCAAACAAACTAGGAGTTTTAGAAGAATCCGACTTATCTGTTCCGGTGATTTTGGAAGAGAAAGAGAAGGTCGGCTGGGGTGGTAGTGATTGGTTGGATTGAGTAGGTTGAGTAGGGTTGGGTTGAGTTTGGGATGGAGTGGATTGAGTGGGTTGAGATGAAGAACCAAAGGAGAAAGAGATATTAGGATCAGTACCAAAAGAAAAGGTTGGAGTAGGCGTATTAGTAGGAATACTAGGCGTATTAGTAGAAGAGTCCGGCTGAGTTAAAATAGAACTACTTTGATTGGCAAACCCAAAATCAGCCGAAGGTCTTTTCTTACTCAGATCATCTAAAGACCCATTCTGTAAAGAAATACCCTTATAACTTCGATCGGTTGAAAAGCTCTTATCACTAGGCATATCTAAACTATCCCGACCAGAACTCATTTGTATAGTACTCTGATTAATACTCTGGTTAGTTATGGGGTTAGTTAAAGGATTAGTTAAAGGATTATTAAAGATAAGTTCAGCATTAGATTTAGGAGTTAAACTATCTTCGGATTCGTTGGCATAGATCCTTTTCTCTTGTGGAATCTCTTGAAGAATAGCTTGTCTCTTCTTCTCTCTAGCATGAGCTTTAGCTACATCTTCAGCCGACATACTCTTCCTCTCCTCTAAACCACCAGGTACTAGTCCTTCCTTAACCCGGCGTAAGTACTCTTGATCCTCAGCATAACTAGTATAAGGCCGCATAGCTAAATAAGGATGATTAGTACTAAACAACTCACGACCAGGTTCTTTACCCATTCCCAACCGTAAATCTTCACACAATCTACCTTTCTCACCACTACTACTCCCTTTAACTCCCTGCCTAACCATTCGCAACTCAATTGAATTAGGAATAGCCCCAGGAGGAATACCTACTACTTTATAAGGCTTAACTTTACCTGCCACTTTCTTATCTCCCATTACGTCATCATTTACGTCCTTATCAACTACACTACTTACGTCACCATTTACGCCCTTATCAACTACATTACTTACGTCACCATTTACGTCACCATTAACATTACTATTAACATTACCATCAACTAAACCATTACCACTACTTACATTATCAACACCACTATCAACACTACTAACATTACTAATAGGCATATCTAAGTTATTATTATTGGTACCTCTAGCAATATATCTCCAAAACCTACTTAATCTCTCTCTATCTATCTCTTCTCCTGCCGCTCGTGCCTTAATTACTTCTATTTGTTCTAAGAACTCAGGAATTACTTCAGCTTCTAAAACATTCTCAATTAATCCGGCAATTTCTTCTACTTCAACTACTGATAGGCCTTTACTCCTAGGTTGAACTCGTCTTAATATTTGCTTATAAACTGATCTATACTCACTATCTCGTAACATAAAAGGTCTTAATCGGTCTTTTTCCTTACGAATCCACTTTTTAGGCAACATCTGCATAGTAACACTTTCAGCAGCTGAGTAGATATAAGAAAGTAATCTCTGTAGTACATCTTGAACACGCATAAAATAAAAGACCGGCTTTTCTCTTTTTATATGAGCTCTATCAAGTTTCTGAAGAACCTCTATGCAGTTGCTTCTTCTGGGGCCCATTCTGCTATTCAATGGAATAATCAAGGTAATGGAATTCTTATCTTAGATAAGAACCGATTTATTAGGGAATCTCTTCCTTCTATCTGTAAATCCGATGAGTATGGTACTTTTATTAGACAACTAAACAATTATGGCTTCTCTAAAGTTAAGACGGGTGGAGTTGATGAGTTCGTGAATGAACACTTTCAAAAAGACTCGCCAGAAAGTCTGTTGCAACTTAAACGTCGTAATTTTACTGAGAAGACTGTAGATTTACAGGCTTTACAGAATAATCAGTACCAGTTACATGCGAGTATGTGTGAAATAAACGAAGTGAATAGAAGTCTGCTGCAGGAGTTGTACCATTTAAAGGGAAAGGTTGAGCAGCAGGAGAAGACTATTAATGAGTTAGTTAGGGCTTTCATTCGTATATTCAATAAGCAGTCGCCTAAACAAGCAGTGCCTCAATTAGAAAGTGGATCAGTAAGTGGTCGATCTGAACTAGGGATGGAGTTACCGGGTCAGTTGAGTAGTTCTGAACCTTTGGAAATGCTTTTGGAAGAAGATACGACGAGTTTAGATGGTGGGAGTAAAACTAAAGTGTCCGGATTGAGTTTAGACGAGTTCTTAAATGAAGAATACGATGGAGTTTAGGTTGGTAGTGGGTTGAGTTGAGTTTAGTATGGAGTTAGTAGTAGGTGGACTAAGTAGTAAGTATATAAGTGGTGGTTTAAGTAATGGAAGAGTTCTTGTGTAAATCGGAATAAATGTTAGTATAGATTGGGTTAGTGTTGAGTTGAGTTTGGTTTGAGTTAGTATTAAGTTAGTATTAAGTTGAATTGAGTTAGTCGACTTTGCGGCGGCGTTCTTCGGCGGCTACTCGGCGAACAACTAAGATGGCAATTAAAATAGTGCAGATAATAGTAGTTACGGTTGAGAGAATAACTCGGGTAATGGGATCGGCATTGAGGTGGCCAAGACCAAGATAAACAAGTAGTACGATAAAGGGCATAATAAGTGCGGCAACAAGAGGCTCCATAAAAAAGAAGTTCTTGAGGTAGATAGTTATAAAGATAAGATTGAGGTGGGTTTGGTTGAGTTAAGATAGATGTAATGCCGTTATACAATCACTACTCTTTTCTTACACTAAATTACTTATTGATTGGTTGCATACGTATTGGGTTAGTAGAGTATGACGTCATCTACATTCAATACTAACTCGACTTTGTCGTATTGAGATATGTTTTTAATAGAGTATGTATTAGTTAAGTATTAGTTAAGTTTGAGTTGGGTTGAGTTGGGTTGAGTTGAGTTGGTATAAGCTAGCAGTAATAAGCTAGTCAATAAGATAAGATGAGGTAGTAAGATACCATAACACAACTTAACTTAACTCAAACCCAACTCAAACTCAAACTCAAACCAAACTTAACTTAATAAAAGAGATAGTAGTGATAGATAGGAGAAAGTGCGATTTAAATAACATTTATTGGTGGTAGTGGTGGTTGCTTAGGATGCAGATAGGCCAAGGACACGGGGAGGTTCACGGAAGAAGTCAGTTACACGAATAACTACACCACAGGCAAAAGCAACTACTAAAGCACTGCCTTGCGCAATAATGCCTTGAATGCACGTACGATGGTCTTGAGCTGGAGTAGGAGGTGCATTTTCAATCAGGGCATGTTCTTCTTCTGAAGTAGTAATGTAGATATCTTCAGCTCGCATTTCGGCTTTAATAACCTTCATGTAAACTTTAGGATCACTTTCATACCCACAGACGTAAAGAGTGCCATCTAAACCAGCGGCCACTACAAAACCAGCTCGCACCAGTAGAGCGTGCGAAGAGGCCTGTGGTGCAGCTAGTAAAGTCCGATTAGCAGAAATAGAGTAAATCCGACCCAAACCATACAGGGAGTTACTAATAAAGACTAAATCATGAGCTACACCCAAACCAGCAACTGTATTAGTACCAACCTTAGAAGGAATATTGCACAGATCAGCAAATGTCCGGGAAACACAGTAAGTCCGACCATTTGTATCTACGGCCAGAACAGCTTCAGATGTAGAACTAACACAAACCAGAGGAGCCGAAAAGTGTCTTTCCTTTTCCGTTGTACAATTGATTAGATCTCCAGTCGCCGTGCATAAGATCAAGTCTTGGCCAAGAATAGTAAAGTCAATAATGTTCGTAAAGGTTTCAAAGAACTCTTTTGTCTCCCGAGCCGGATCGGGTAATTGACAATGTTTGTACGTCTTATCAAATAACAACTTTTGCAAACTGCCATCAGAAAAGAGGACTAAAACCTCCCCAGGACTAAGTACAGCTGCTGCTCGTGGAAATCCATGATTCTCAATACATACTTCATTCAGAATATTACTGGCTTCCCCAAGAACGTACAACTGCCCATTACCAACCGAAGTAAACTGAAAGACACCCGGCGAAGTAGCTTCACTCTCACCCGATTTAGCCCCAATCAAGTAAGTAGTGGCCGATAGCGGAGCCATAAAAACTATCTCATGAGGAAGTGCTCGAAATGATAAACGGCCCTGGACTGAAACCGGAACATTAGGCAGTCGTCGGCCATTCAAAACAATCGATTCAATATGGGCTGGATCTGTTTCTTCTAAGGCCGGTCGTTTAGGCGCCTCCTCAGGATCTTCTTCAGCCGGAAGAGCAAACTCGGCCAGATCTGAAGCCCGGCGTTTAACCCGGCGTTTTTCATGACCGGTTTGGGTATCATCAAAAGTAAAGATAAAGTTATAGTGCTGATCGGGCATCTTAGCTAAATGATGAGATACACCTTCCAGTAAAAACCGACTCTCTAAATTGAACTTCTTCCGGAAGAGACCTCGGACTTCACTATACTCCAAAGGCGGATGACTTTCATTATAAGCATCCACAATAGCCTTGAATAAATGAGTAAACTTACCACAATGGTACTTATAAGCCATTAAACTCTTAAACTGCCGGCCACAACCAGGAATACGACAGAAGAAGACTTGTGATTCAACAAAGGCTTCTGGATCAGTAATATGAGTAACACCTAAGGGAAACGTATGAAGAAGAATATCTCTAATGGCTCCAGGTTCTTCAATCGCTCGGGAAATATCCAGGAGACCTTCATCATGGACAATATCATGGTCCATTTGGGGAGTGAGAGATTCTTCAGTCTCTTCGGCTGTTCGGGTCATAATATCATGGGCTTCAAGTAATTCAGCGGCATCTTCTGAATGGACGCGGTAGATATGATCTTTAAGATTATCACTTTCACGGCAATTAGCAGCTCCACAGAGAATCTTCTTATCTGAAGGTGTAAAGAGTGAATGTTTGTAGTACATCAAATGGCGCTTGTAACCAAGACTTGAATGGTATTCTAGAAGGCACTTAGTATACGGACACTTATAACGGACACTTTCAATCTTTTCGCTCTTTTCACCATCTTTGGGTTTACGACCACGCTTCTTTTGAAAGTCTTGCATAGATGACCGGGGCAAAAAATTGCAACGTAGTCCCTCAAATCTATGTTCCTCCACTTATCTACTGCCAAGTAAGTCTATCTTTATTTTGAATCAATTTTATAACTATTTGGCCATACCTGTAAAATAAGATAAAGAGATAGCCATTAATCAAGCCTAACGGTTATAACAATAAATAAAAAAGTAGCTCATCAGGAGATAAGATGGACTAGTCTTTAGTAGTAAGTTAAATTGGCCAGAGATAAGTCAAAAGAAGATAAAATAGTTGGAGAGAGTGTGATAGATAGTTGGTTGCTTGTTTAGAGATAAGATAGATAGAGATTGGGCTAAAAATTTGCGGTATGACTCTGCCTTCAGAACTGGCCATGAATATTCGGATTATTAAAGCACTTGGTGATGCGCGTACAGTAGGACCTTTAAGACACTTTATTATTTCGGCTATTCTGAAACGGCTTAAAAAGCCTAATGTGATAACTGGGGGAATGTTTTGGAAGTTTTTGGGTATTTACTACGGAATGAATGAGGAGTTAGAAGTGCCAGGTCGGGAGGTGGGTTTTGAAGAGTTTAAACTGCCGATTCAGATGGAATAGAGATAGCGAGCAAGGTTAATTTGGCCTTCCGCAAAAATAAATCCAAATGGGGAATAAGCATGTATTTTGGGCTTCTAATGGCCTTTTAGATTATCTAACGAGTATTTTAGGTGGTTATTATACTGAACAGGCTTTAGTAAAAGATGTGTTGTATCGTGATTGTTTTGCCTGTTTAGTGCCTATTCTGATGCAATCGGGCATTCATTTGGTCTGTAGCTTGTATCCGTTTGTGATGCAGAGGCGGCGACGACGAGTAAGAGAGGCCCGGGGAATGGTTAAGTACGTGCGAGGGAGTGGAGGTCGGCATCAGATTAAACGGGTTAAGTTGCATGCTATGCCAGTACCGGCCCGAGCTTTGGCTTTGGCCTTGCGTGAGCATTTGGAGTATCGCGCGGAACGAGTGGAGAAGTTAGTTATTCTTTTGATGATGGCTGGTTTAGCTGTAGTAGCGGTGGTTTCTAAACTGGTGATGTATGAGGCACTTAAGTATACGACTTTTACTACCTTAGGGATTGTGCGGTCCTTTAGGTTATTCCCGGTTTCTTTGACTTCTGGGCACTGGAATGGCCATCGACCGGCTGGGAAGAAGGTAGCTGTTATGGCGGCAACTATGGGGATCTTTATTTACATCTTCTCGCCGGAAGAACGGGTGGAGAACATTCACTTTCTAAAGAATATCTTACCGGGTCGGAAACCAAACTTAATGACGGCTGAGGATAAACAGCGACTGATTAGATCGGGTTTGAGGTTTTTGGAATGGACAGATATGATTAATCGGCCGAAAGCATCTTTAGGATCCCAGCCTTTTTATCTTATGCCTTACTATCTTATCAAGCAAGTCTGTGGAGTTAGAAAGAGTAAGTTGGGTCTTGGTTTAGGTCGAGTAAGTAGGGAGGATGAAAACCAGGTTAGGAATGATGAATGTTTAGCCCGAGTGAGTTACACTCCTGACCAAATAGTGGCTCTGTCCTTGGAAGAGCAGTTTATTGTTCAATTACTAGCGGGTGAAGTGCCTAAACAGCACTTGAACTTATCACCGCATATTTACTCGCGGTTGCACTACCGGGGACTCTTAGCGGTTATGCAGGGATCTCAGCACGAAGATCCTCGAGTGGTAGAGATTCTAACACGAGTAAGTAGTGGTCGTAAGGACCCACAAACGGAACGGGTTGTTAATGCCCTCTCTATCTCTCTTTTACGGATTATTTGTACCGGTCCCAACATTCTTCTCTTCAAAGCATATCTTGAGAAGAAGAAGATCTTAGCGGCTATACTACTAGCTCTTAATTCCTGGCTAGAAGTTGCTTTAGAAGCCGGATTAGTGGTTCTATTCAAAATGTATCATATTGAGTACGGGTGTATTTCTTATGGAGTCAACTTAATTTCAGTCTTACTGACCTATGCCTTTTTAGTCCTGTATGGGTACTCTCCAGGGGATATGTATGCTTGTGTTACTAGAGATAGGATTTTATCCTCTCTATTTGGCTCATTATCTCGGTTCTTTTCCTATCAAGATGGGGATAGGAACTATCCAGTTTTACGCACTAGTCTACAGATTGGACGTAAGTTCTTTTCCTTATTAATGTCCACTATCTTCTTTCGGCATGATTTCAATGTTGGCCACTGTATTGGTATTTTACTAATGTTTATTGGGTCTATTATGAATGTAGGCCTTCATTCCGTACTTCTTTCGCGTTGGACATTCAGTGGCCATCTCAAACGAAGGTGTGCTTAACTATACTTAAGCCAGCCATTTGTATTATAACTGTTTGTCTTCTCACCACCCAATCCAATCCAACACAATCCAACACAACCCAAATCAGATAAAGTAAGATAAGATAAGGTAAAGTAAAGTAAAATATAGTAAGATCTAGTAAGCTATTAACTGTTTAATTTAATCCAACACAAACCCCACCCAATCCAAACTTAACTCAACCCCACTCAATCCAACACAAACCCAACACAAACCCACCTCAATCCAACTCAACTCAAACCCCACTCAACTCAATCTAATACTAATACTATCCCAATTTGTTTGTTTGTTTTTATGCACGCATTTAAGAAAGTAGTTGTTCATCCTCTTGTACTTCTTTCTGCAGTAGATCATTACCGTAGAATGGACCAGCCAAGAGTAGTAGGAACTTTATTAGGACGTATAGAAAATGGTGTTGTTCATATTACTAATAGTTATGCTGTGCCTTTTGATGAGGTAGAAGGAAGTTCGGGTGTTTGGTTTTTTGACACGTCATATAATGATAGTATGTACAAGTTGTTTAACAAGGTGAATAGTATGGAAGTAATACTTGGGTGGTATCATACGGGTGTAGATCTGCATAAGAACGACTTACAGATCACTCAGACTTTCCAAACTTATACTAAAGATCCAATTTTGGCCGTAATTGATGTAGAGCATTCAAGTGAAGGTACGCCTGTTAAGTGTTATCGGCTGGAGAAGGAGATTAAGTCTAGCACTGAGACGGCTAAGTTTGTCTTTGCTCATGCACCTTTTGAGATTGAGGCTGAGGAGGCTGAAGAGGTGGGAGTTGAGCAATTGATTGAGGACGTACGTGATGTGAACATTGGTGACTTAGGTCATAAGATTGCGCGGTCTACTGCTGCTCTTCAGGACTTAGCTAGTGGGTTGCAAACAATTGAGAACTACTTGCTGGAGGTAGAGACGGGTAAGCGAGACTACAACGAAGAGAATATGCAACTCCTTCAAGAGATGCTTAATAATGTGCCTAGAACGGCGCCTGCTCAAATTTCCGAATATATTGCTAAGATGGAGGCTAACAGTTATTTGTGTGCCGTTGTCAGATCGATAGTGCTTCTTAATGATGTCACCAAGAGTAAATAACAATAAACGGAGTGAGTTTATGAGGTATTAGTATTGAGTGTAGAGATGTGGTTATGTGAAAGTTAGATAGTGCCAAGACGATTGTTTATTAGGTGGTGGGGATGTGAGTTGAGTTGAGGATGGCGGATGTTGCGTTAGTGGCATTGAGAGTTGAGTTGGGGGCGGTGAATGTTACGTTAGGGGCGGGGTGCTCGAGTTGGTGGCCTATCCACATTTTAACGTCGGTTTGGATAGTGTCAAATGCACTGCGGTGACCCCAGAGGAGATAACCAAACGTAATGAAAAGGAAGATGGTGAGGGCTAAAACGATAATTGTGTTAACAACCTTCTTGAAATGAGTGGGACAATTGTTGCGTGGAAATCTGAAGAGACAGACCATGATGATAAACCCAATGAGCGCGATAAAGCTGGCTACTATAGCACCAAATGCGGCATTGACGCGGTAGAGATGCATTATACCGGATTGAGTGGCATAGGTTATAAGCTCGTATGCAATGTAGTGTATGCCACTAATTATGACTACAATGTATAAGGCCGCAACGTATAGGAAGAGGGAGCTGTGTGGGTAGCACGTGACTTGATAGATTAACTGGCCAAACAAAACGAGAGTAAATATGACTCCGGCGGCCCATTTGATAACGTTGGAGGCCATTAGATAATGCTTTAAGGCGGGTGCTGCCTTCCATGGAGTTTGTAAAGTTAGCACGGCTTCTTGGAATGTTTGTTTATGCGACTCTGCCACCTCACTAATCTGGGTTAGATAGAATAGGCAATGGATAACAAACTGTATTAAAAAACAACTCCATATCGTTTGGGCGATAGTAAAGTGGCATAGAACATACCAATCTTTAATGCTTAATGACGCATGCTTATTATGGTTGGTAGTTGGATGCAGCAAGGGCGGGATAGTTGTTTCGATCAGTGGATCCTGGGAGCCGCCTTGCTGTGCCGTTGTACCCATTGGTTGCATTTCAATATCCATTTTTGGTGCAATCTTATCTCATATTATATAAAAACATTCGGCAAACAACCAGTATAATTATAACTGAATAACCAAAAGCATAAGCTAGAAGGTAATTAAGATTCAAAGTAAAAAGAACGGATTTTGATAAACGGATTTTGATACTAGTAATGTGTTTAAAAGACCCAAAGTAGTACAGGTTTGACACTAACCAGATCGTGTCTTTAGGCGTGCTTGGTTGGGAGAGGCAGAATGAGTGGCACGAGTATGACTAACAGTCATTCTATTGGGTCTGAAACAACTAATAAATAGCCACTAGCTTAACAAAGCTTCTTGGGCTGTTAAAACCACCAAGTGCTGATCTGTGGATAGATTGGGCTAGTAGCTTCTTTTACAAGATATTATTGTGAATTGGGTTAGCCAGATCTTGGCGTTGCAACGCTATGCCAGTAAGCCCACCTCCGACATCAAAACATAGAACTAAAGACCATGTGATTTATTGATCTAGCATTATCTTAGACAGTTGCAAGATAATGCCCTTTCTGCGAACTCATTCGAACTCTTTATTTAATGCACTATCCTGTTGGTGTTTATGGTCGCTTTGGTACTTATATGATCATTGAGAGGCAGTTGAAGCCATGAAGTCATAAGAATGCAACTTGCCAACCCAATGTACACGAGAAGTGTGGATATTCCTAGGATTGGCCATCCTATGTACATGTTTATCTTAGGCCATGGGAGAGTCATTAAGGCCTTCTTTCTGAATAACACTATTATTGCACTAACAGTGGTGGTGCTTATTATTGCAAGGACAAAATGAATTGTAGTCGGATTCTTGAAATATGCGTGTTGGAGATAAGACAAAACACCGGCACTAATAATGGCATACCCACACCAGGTGGCTGTAAAAAGGAGACCGTAGAAATGACGGGACGAACAAACCAATTTCATCTTGGATGGTAGCCAAAATGGGCTGGCAAACAACATGGAGGAAAAGAAGGCCATATTCACTAGAACAAAGATATGCCTTAAATGCGGCCAATAATCCCCTATGATTGGAAGAACTGGAAATACTTCGTGCAATTGGGCTATTCTTGCTGCTCCATATGGAAAGTAAGTCAATAGATAGTCTTTAGGTCTGATTAAGATATTGACATATACTAACCAGGCAGTGATATCAGTCAGCATTGAAGAATACAAAGTACCTAGTAAAAACCGGCTAATGGTACTATACCAATGTACTCTCTGTGATGGTGGTACCTCTATATCAGTATCCGATTCATCTTCCAGGTCCGGCCAATTCTTAACGACAGTCCTGGTGGCGTGGACATATATGTGGCTGGGTGCGCTGTTATCTTGTTGTGTCTCAGACTGAATCTCCGCTACACTATCTTCGTCTGAATCAGACTCTCTCTTATTGCCAATGAATGGGTTGGATTCGATCTCAGCTTCTTCTGGCTCTATGGACATATAGAGATGGTTATCTGTTTCTTTCGATATTTCCATACTATCCCATCCGTTCTTCTATATATAGAGTTGTCTCTGTCCTTTTATAGAAGAATATTGTTTGTGTTTGTATTCGGATTTAGTTCGTTTATGGTATGATTAGTTCTTATCTAAATTAAAAACATTGGATTGTTATTT